TGGTGAGGACGGCACTTCAGCCTTGTGATAGATTTCCTCAGAAAGCTAGAAGAAGGCTAAAGAAGTTGAAACTATTATTCAAAGCATTTAAAGAAGAAAAAAAATCCACCACCACCAACTAAAAAACCCCTTTGAACATTGCTGTTTATAATTACATAGGAATTGAAGGCTTTCTTCTCCTTCATAGCTAGAAAGTGCTTTCCTAGATGAAGTTTTTAGAGGCTCAGATGTAATCAGCTAAGGAACTCTTCAAACAAGCTTGCTATGTTTTGATTTGGTGCAAATAAGAAGCAAAGTAATAGAAATAGCTATTCCAAGAATAGCTAGGGCTTTGAAATGCTGATTTTAAGTGCTGCATGCTGCCATTTGGCTGTCCCATCATAATAATATGGAACGAAAGACAATTTCCCTCACTATAAGCACTCAGAAAAATACTTACAAACAAATGGAAATAAAAAAATCCGTCTATGTTTTTTCTATTTTTTTCCTTATATATTTTTTCCTGTATTTCTTCTTTATATCAAAATGACAATAGCAATATTTCTTATGTCAGCTACAAAGGATCCAGTTAACAATTTCCTACCACTAATAGTTACTGGATTTACATTACCATTTGAAAAGTCTGCTCATGTAGGGCGGTGCTATAAATTCACTGTAAACACTCATTCTCCTGCACTGTGAACTGATGATGAGAGGAGGTCTGGGATGATGCCTGTGCTGCAATCAGAGGCGCAAGCAGGGCATGTACAAGTGTACTAGTGTCAACGTGGATCTACGTGTCTGGGGATGAAGGCTGGAGAGCAGTAGCAGCAGGGGAGCCAGCATGGGAGCTGCTTGAATCTTGGGTAAGCTGCTACCTGAAGCCTTTGGCATTGTTATAATTACATGGCTCTGACAATAGAACTGGTTCAGGTCTATATACATGCTCATCTGTATCTACATACATGCTTCTGCCACACACCTAGCACCTGCCTTTTTAACTTACGTCTCATCACCTTGACACTGCCTTTCCCTCTTTGGCCCAATGTACAGAGGTTTCATTTGATTGGATCTTGTAGCTGGAATCAGTCATTCTCAACTTACCAGCTATAGAGAGATGGGCACTGTCATCTCCTTCCTTGTCCTTAAACATTCCTACTCTGAAGAGGCTGTAGCAGCTTGTATTAGGATGTGAACTTCCACCTGCTAAATGGCTACTCATACTGTAGGTATTTTGTCTGTGCTAGATGGAATGACCCATATGCATAGCCCTTTAAATATTCTTGCTTTTCCCTGTGGTCTTGTATCAAGCAAGAGTAAGCAGCCAGTCTGCATGTGGGCCACACGTTGGACGTACATGATTTAAGTTATTTTTTGAAATCACAAATATTTTTAGGACAGCTATTGTTCCCTTAGATATGAGTAATGGTTTATCTGGTAACGTGGATTCCAATAAATGAATAAATTGACTTTTTTTTTTTTTAGAAATGTATTAATGAATCACATCATCTACTGTTTGGTTATTTCTTTTGCCCTACAACTGAAGGGCGCTATACTGAAAAAAAGGAAAGAATTACTCTATTGCACTGTTGTCTCGTGCTTTCATTGCTATGGGATGTAATTGCATTAGCTTCTGTACTGTTAGATTTCAAAAAGCTAGTTCATAAGCAGTAATAACATTTGTGGCAATCCGAGCTAAGTTAATGAAAAAGATAATCAAATCTAATGCTACAGGGCATGATATCTGATATCTCTAGGGGGTCATGAAGAGATCATGCAGCTGACTCAGGGAAGGGAAGGAGGCATTTGTGTGGGGGAGTGCAGAAGAGGAAAGAGACAGCAGAAAACTGAGGGTCACCTTGTTCAGAAGAGCTGTGAGCTGGTCGCTGATGGAGGCAGGAGGGTATGCACTAGACGTATCACAAGGATGAAGATGCTTATCAAGCTAATGATATTTTTAGTTAATGCCAATGGTGAGGTATAAGTTTCAGCTGATCCAGACATTTGTCTCTATGTGTTGACTGGGAAATTGGATTAAGTATTTTGTGTGTGCTTTTGCCTTGCCTGTAAACACTGAGTTGGTGGCTGATCACAGGTGTCATTTGAATAAGATTTTTTTGCTTGTTTGTTTGTAAACCTCAACTTCATGCTGGAACTCACTTCAGTGACTGATGCCAATGGAAAAATCTTTGCATGTCTAAGACAGTTCCCAGTGGCTGTGTTTTCCTGCTTGTAATTATGTTTGCAGCAAGTTGTCCATGCGGGCACTCTCTGCCACATTTTGTTGTGTCATTTGATGGTCTCAACAAAAGCATGAGCACTGACCAGTATCAGAAATAGTGCACACTTTCCTTCTATGTGTGCAACTAATGAAGTTCAGCAAGACAGGCATGACACAGTAATTCACTGATCAGTTATCCACTGATAATTTGAGCACTGTTATTGTCTTTTGCCTGTGTGAGATGGAAGAGCCTGTATTCACACAAGAATTCAGCAACAATATTTTCCTAGCCTCATAATAATGCCCTAAAGCTCTCCAGAGCAGGATGATGAGAGGGATATGCTGAGATCACAGCAGTGATGGAAAGAAACAGGAGATGTATCCAAAGGAGATGCAGAGCTGTGGAACTCAGAGCTCATGTCCGGGTACAGAAAAGTGTCTTTTCTCCCACTCAGTGCAGTTACAGCAGGATGGTGAAATAGCAGTCAGTCCCACTACCCTCAGAAGCAGAGTCACAACAGCTTAGAACAGAGCTAATGCACCGCACTACCATGCACATGTATCCTTGCAGCCTATGAATAACATTTGCTCATAACACATATTTACTTTGAAAAAAATAAAGGGCTATACTTGATACTTGAATACATTCATTTCTCCAGAACAACAACTAAGCACAGAATTCAGTAGGAAATATGTAAAAAAGAGTGTTTGGTCCAAAAGCTCTTTTATGAAGATCCGTATCTCTTAAGAATGTTAATAATGATTTCATGCACTTACATTTTGGTTCTTTGGTGTTTACAATATTTATTGAATTCTTCTGCCTCCTTTCTAAGCTTGTCAGAAAAGCTTAATTTGTAGGTGTAAGAGTATTTGCAGTGTTTCTCCTGACTATTTTGAAAATCTCAAAATATCCAGCTGCTAGGCTTTAGATCTTACCATAAAAAGGAAGAAATAATGGCAGTAAATTTGCTTGCGCTTATCATGATAATAATCATGTAAAGCATGGATTGAAGAAAATCCAGCAGTGAGTTTAGAAAAACTGATTAAAATCTACTATATACAAATTGGCTGCGTCCACCCACCACTCCCACAGTTCCTCAGATTATCACCGTGTTTATATTTTAAGTGTCTGCAGCATGGAGTCATTGAAACTATATCAGATTTTAATAAAACAAGGTGGTGTGGGATTTCTGTGGGGCTGAAGTTCAAGTTAAGAGACTTGAATATATAACACCAAACACAGACTTTGTCTGAGTTAATACCAAATGGAATTTTATTTCGTTTTCTTCCTTTCTCTCCTTTACAAAAGAAAAATTAATATCTCATCACCTCTAAGAAAGCGAAAGTTATTCTGGAAGAGTGAGAGATTGCACAGTTCCCAACACTGCAAATAGAAGTAGTTATTTTAAACAATAGAATTCAACCTGCCTTATTGCTTCTCTCTCTCTCTTTCTGAATGGACCTGTCTCTGCAGGATGGATTCTCAGCTGCTAAGCATCCAGGTGCTAATTTATATGTATGTGAATATTCAAGGTTAACAAGAATGTGTTCCCCATGGGAGAAATAGTCAGTGCCATTCAGATTACATTTCTCTTTCCCTCTCTGCCATAGAATGGGCTGTCAAAAAGGTGTCTGATGTAACTGTAGGCCTCTTTCTACTCACACAAACAATTTTGATATTTCCAGTTGGTAGTAGGTGATGTATTTCCTTGACTAGATGGCCAGCAGGGAGAACAAATGAAATTAAATATCTAAATTAAGGAAATAGAGGATAAATTTAACTCTTTTTTTCCTACATGACTGTAGTTGTCCCTTGTATTCCTGTAAAGGATGAGTTTTTTAATTAATTACTATTTTACAGGAAATCAGGCATCAAGACCCAACCATATGACCCAGGTCATATCTGGACTGGAGACTGGAAAAGAAGACTAATAGCTCAGGTTTTCAAGTAGGTTGCCCTCATAACCAGAGGCAGATGCCTGTCTATCACCAGTTTTACTGGATTAGATTAGCAGCATAAGCACAATTTTTCTTTATTTCATCTCTGATGGAATTATGCACTCATCTGGAGGGTTAGGGAGGGAGGTCACCCTAGGCAGGGCTTGCAGCACGTCTCAGAAAGGCATGCTGAGCATGGGGACATGTCTCTATAGACTGCTCTCACTTTTCCTGCATGGACTTATCCAAAATACAGTTTAACATACAGAGACTTCAAAGCTGGCCCTGTGCAATGTGAGATAAGCTTTGGCAGGGCTGATGCTTATCTGTCGCTAAAAGAGCTGGTAGGTGCTGGTAACTGTGTGCAGTCAGTTCCTGCACTCTGCTCTCCTTTGCCACCTGACCTTTTATTATGCAGCATGGCCCAGCAGTCCCAGATAAGGACTTTAATTCCATGCTGCTGTGTTGTTTCAGTTCCCAAACAGCTGACTGAGTTAAAAATGGGTTAGACATTGACCATTCTTGGATTAGACCAGGGTCCTATTGCTTTTTAATCTTTTGATAAGATAACTGAGTCACGGTTTTAAAACTCACCACAGCATAGATTTCCAGCCTTCAGATCATTCTTACTTTTATTCCCTGAATTCTTCTTTTTTTCTTTTTTTTTTTTCCCCAGGCCACCCAGAATGAATACAGGATTCTGTGGACAATCTAATTCATACTTCATGCTGAAGTAATGCTACCACTACACTTATCTTTCATATCAAGCTGTTTACACACCGAGGGTGGCACTGCAAGCCAGTGTTTGCTTGGTGATACTCTGATTTCCTGGGAGCCGTGTAATATTACTAAGTACTCTGAGTTAAATATTGAAGAGATGTCATCAGTTTCTAAAAGTCACATTCCTGCTTGGCTCTTTCTCATACTTGTTGTTACAAGCAAGATTACTGGGATCACTGTAACTGAAAAAATAAGGGGAAGGAGCGTTTTGCCTCAGGCTAGGATTTTGAAAGATCTCTTCATTTTGCATGTCAGCATTTATGTGTTAGTACATGGTCAGTGCCTCTGCTAGTTGTTTGTAAGCAGTTTGTTACTTTTTTACTTCAAAATAGCTAAATCTGGGCCTGCTTAACCACAGAACATCACAGAGCAGACTGTGGGGGCAGTGGCTGAAAAGCAGAAGTGAGACGGTCAAGGAGTGAACCTTGGGTCCACCCCTTTCTGCTCACACCCGTTCTGTGCTTTCCATTTCATCTTTTCTTTTTCAGAAGAGAAACTTGAACTTGGAAGTCTCCACATTTCTGTAGTCATGACATTATTTTCCTCCTTAACCCCAGTCTTCATAGCAATTATATGTGTTTTGATTGGGGTAATACTGAAGAAGACTAAAAGAGAGAAGGAAAGAGGTGACACTGGAAGTAAGCCCATACCTCGTCCATGGGTGGATGAAGATCTAAGAGATGGCACTGATCACCACTTAGTGGAAGAAGGTAAGAAAAATCTTTTACAAATGAGCAATTTTATTGCTTGAATTTGGTCTGCTAATATGAATAGAGATGCAAACATCTGGACTTCTTCACTTTGATAGAAATGCATAGTGCTATGCTGCACTATGCTTGTCAACTTGATGGAACAAGGTTATTCTTATGTCCTGTCCCTCTTGGTGACAGACGGGTCAGGGTGCAAGAAGAAAATGTATTTTCGAAGTTTGTTGTATGCTCCATGATCAGCAGATCTCAGATCTAAGAGGGATTCTGTGGGAAATGTAGGAAAGAAAGTGGATATTGTTAAAATTTTTTCCTAGGATGGGGAACTCTGGAAGAAGAGAGAGCTTCTGTCTGTAGGCTGACTTGGTAGGCACCTCATCCTGCTTTACCTACATGAGCTATGTGGCACAGTCTGTATTTGATCTCAACACCCCCAGAAAAAAAAAGAAATAATTTTGTTACAGTTATGAACGTCCGTAAGAATTTTAGCTGGTTTAGAGTGGGGATCGTTTTGGAGCTATGTTGAGTCATATTTTTAAGAACAGTAGTAGTAGTGATGACGCTGATCTCTGTTCACTCAACAGCATATTTGAAGCTGCAAATAGAATGCCTTTTCTTGCAGTAGTGGTTCCCAATTCTCATCTTGGACGAAAGTATGAGCGTAAGATATACCTTTCCTTCTTTTTTGCTTCTTCATTATCTTCCATAATCTCCTTTCATTTCTTCATGGTATAAAAATCTACACAGTTCTGTTCCTATGAAGTTTTTAAACTTAAAATTAATACAGCTTATTCACTCATGCTGGTTTCAAAAGCTTTTTTTTTCTCTCTCCCATAATGACACATTAATGTAGTCATTTTCTTGGATTCCTGTATCTCATATTGTTTTCTGTACATACAACTATTTCTGAGAACCATTATTTCTTTCTGTTTCTCAATGTTCAGCATAGTTTGAGACAGTATTCTGTATCAGTTTCCAGAAATAGTTTATACTTGGAACCTTTTAAACCATGTTGACAACTTCCCAAATACACAACATTTACTTAAAAGTTAGTTCAAATGTCATGCCTTCCTTTCTACAATGCAAAAGAAATCCTATACAAAACTATCCTGTTTTTCCCTTTTCTAATGGCTTACCAGTTTAGTTAAACTATTGCAAATTAAAATTCCTGTGGGTAGTTCAAGTGAAAATTCTATGAGTTATCACTGTGACATCTATGACTACAGCTGTTTGTATCAGTTTAAAAATGTAGATCCCCTGAATAAACAAATCTATTAGCCCTTAATGAGGAGCTTCTCTGCTATAGCTCCATATACAAAATGTTGTTTTTTTTATTGTTAGCTTTTTCTATCTTTAATGCAGTTGCTAAATTCAAAATTGTACTAAGTTATAAAGTGCTTACAAAAATTCATAGGTAGGTACACCTCTATGCCACTGCTAAAAGGAGATTGTATGTAAAACCAATGTACCAGGCAATGCAACATTAAATTAGACTTTCTTGTTTTAACAAGAAGTAATCATCTTTCCCTTAATGCCATGTGATTTAAAGGCAAGATATTCGCAAAACAGACAGGTCTTTTATCTCCAGATAAAATAAAGTAATTGCACCATGCTTGGTGAAGGTTTTTCTCAGCAGGAAAAAGCCCAGACTAAGTGAGAAGAGTGTATGATCATCTCGGAAGGGATCTGTTATCCAGCTAATGCCATAATAAATGATCAAACATATTCACCTTGTTGTCAGTGTAAAAACTTTCACTGACCACAGCAGCTGCTAAAATGGAAAAATGGAGTGTAAACAGATGTTTTTTTTCTGACCAGTGGAGAGTATTTTACCTGTCATGCAAATTCCACTATTTCACTGATGTTTCTTTATTAGAAAAACTTGCTTCTACTTAAATGTCTCAAGTTGGCTTGTGCTTAAAGAGGTAGCTCCTCTGGAGAGAATTTGAAGTAGACGAGATGAAGCATTTTTAAGTTGTTGTCTAAAACTGGAACCCAAGGCTGCTTTAAGTAAACAAGCTGAATTTTGTACAGCCTTCTAATGGGAAAATGCAGCTAAATACCAAATTTTCTGATACTTGGCCATGACCAAAGGGCACTTTATCAGTGGAATGAAGAAGCCTAATACTGTGCAGCCCTTGTACATTTCTGAAACACTTCAAGGGGCAGGTTGCATGCTGCGCCTTCTTAGAAGATCACTGAACTTGCTCAGGCATCACCAGCATTGTAAACCTTTGTTCAAGTTGCACCAGCAGGGGAAACTTTCAGGCACTGGAGCATTAGATGTAATTAACTGATCTGGTTGGACAGACTCAGTAGAGCCACTTAATGGAAGTGAACGGCAGAAGAGAGAGTCACAGGTGCTCCCAAGCCTGTCTTTGTTATGCTTTCAGCTACTGAAGAGAAAGGTATTTCTCAGAGCAGCCAGAAACACAGTTCCTTGGTTAAGCAGCAAGCATTCAGTCAGTAGTTTATTAGTTGGAAGTACTTCAGGTTTGTTTGCATGTCCATATATTCTGTATCTTCTTCCTTCGTTTATGAGATCCAGAATGAAGGACAGTCATGCTGTGGATTGGTACAAAGGGTCTGTATGTGTGGCTGTATCTTGTACTAGGTCTTATCTAATTGCCAATTAGACATAGATTAAAAACTCGTTTAAAAACATGTTTCTTCAGCCTTATCTTGATGCATGAGCCATGAGGGCTATCTCCTAGTGCAGGGCATTTGATTCTGAATGGTGGTACCGAGTCTCCCATGGCTTCAGTTTTACACAGTTGAATCTAGGTGTTTGCAAAGGCAACTTCTAGAAAATTATTCAGTCCAGGGAGTCCTTACCTAGTTAATTACTACAATACACCTGGCTCAAATCAGGAACAAACAAGTCACTTTCTTGGTCATATTATTCAGATCAATAACTTTGATGGATAAGGTAAATACAGAGCCAATTTACAGTATTATGGAAGATCAGAATGAATTTTATTTGCAACCTTATTATTTTGAGGTCCAGCTGCAGAGATTATTAGCAAAGGGATTTTATTTTTGTGTATTTAATTATTTGGGCTTTTCTTGGTAATGTTTGTAAGAAATATAAAGCAATGTGCAAAGGCTTAAATATCTCATCTCAGACTTCATTGCTTATTGCTTATGATATTTCTTATAACTGACCTCTCCCACTTTAGATATATTTCTCCTCTCCCTGAGTTCAAAAGTTCCCCATATCTTTCAATAATAATACCATTGACATGAGCGAGACAGTAGAAATTTAGTTTTCCAATTTAATGACAGTTCATTCTTTATGTCATTTAAAAACACAAGACTTACACGAACATCACACTTCATTGTGTTTATCTCTCTGCTGATACTCCAGTCTTTGTCATTAGCTGATTGAACTCAAAACCTGATCCAGTTTTCATCACTTGCTGGAATGTTATTCTAGAACCTCATGCCATAGGTTAAAAATTCTCCCCTGCCTGATTTCTAAGCTCTGTCTATACCCACTTTTTATTGTTCCATCCTTTTTTGTTTGTTCCTAGCATACTTTTCCCAGGACAGGTTCATAACCCTCCTGTGGTTTATAAACAACAATCAGATTGCCTCACAGTTTTTCATTTATAGATAAATCAGCATTTCTTCTCTTTATCAAACAGTTCATTTCTCTGAAGAACTTCAGAAGCCTTCTGTAACTGCATTATAGCGTGAGTTCACTTTCCCAATACCATGTTATTCTTTCTTCCTGTCTGTCTCTCCCATTTGATGCTTCTGTTGGTTAAGATCTTTGATCAATCCTTGGGGTTTCCAGGCTCACCTTGCTAACAACTATTTATACCCCACAAGTAAGCATTCCATCTCCTTTAGCTTACCATTAGCAACACATTCAGTTCAGGATTGGATTCATTAATGGGATTCCTATAGTGGCAGATTATGTAGCAGTCTGCCATCAGTCTTGCAAAGAAGCACAGGGTCATTTGTCCAGCACTTTAGAAATAAAAGCCCACAGCCTTTCTTTGTGTGCATGTAATTACATTTTATGTATCATATCAGTTCATTGGAAAAGAGAACTGGAAGAGAAATTCTAAGTGTAGGAAGCAAAAATTTCTTAATATAAAATTTCTTAATGATATAAAATTGAGAGCCAGTAACACATAGAAATATCAGTGTGGGCAAGATAAGTGGCCAGCAAAAATTAAACAAGTTTTACTCATGTGAGTTTAAAATATTAGAAACTCATAGCAAACGTGTTTCCTTCAAACCAAGGCAAAATTTATTACATGATTTGTAGGCTGATTTTAAGTTTCCATGTGAAATTCTGAGAAGAACACAAACATCATTCTAAAATGTATCCAAAGGGCACGTCTATTATGAGATTTCACTTGGGATATCTAAGCCTGATGACTGTCAGAGATGTACAACAGAATAGAATTTATGAGAATATTGAGAATGTGTCTAACAAGATAGTTGAGTGACTAGCAGGATGTCTGTTGTACATCAAATGAAAGAATACACATGCAAATAAACAAGACACTTGTAGTATTATATAATGTGACCTTACAAACAGGAATATGTCCAAACATAGCCATTAAAATATAGAGAGCATGCACCAAACAGATGGTATTGATAATGTTTTTAGCTTAGCATATGGATGACATTAACTGCTAAGAATGAATGGTAAACTCATGGCAGAAAGGAATAAATAATAGCTTATTTTATGTTTTAAAAAAATTTCTGGGTGAACTTTCATTTTGTGTGTCAGTTCTTTCACATCTAGGTTCTTCTCCTGCCTCAGCCATATTCTGGTCTTAGTGCATTCCAGCACTTTTTTTTTTTTTTTTTGCTTGCAACTCTAAATTAGATATTCTAAATCAGAAATGGTGCTTCTCAAACATTCATTCTCACTAGTCATCTCACCCTCATCACGTGTTCAATATCTTTGAAAATATATGCCTTTTTTTTTTTTTTCCCCTGCTGTCTTACTATGCTGAACCATCTTGGCCATGGATTAGCTGCTTTTCTTCTACTTAGAAGGAAAAAATTCCAGGAAAAAAAAACTCAAAAAATTTAACTTTACCATTGATAATACTGCAAGTTTTATACTTTCTAACTTGCTTAACTTCTATTCTTAGCTGCCTGTACAACACTTACTTAATATTTTTATTCAACCAGTTACATCTGAGATGAATTTTATACCTCTGATATGAAGCAGTGCCAAATGCCTCTGATTCCTGATCCCTGACTTTTTCAGTCTGAGTTGTTCAACTTATTTTTTCTCAATCTTTTATTTTCCCAAAATTAGAAACTTTCATTTCCTTAACTTGTCATGTAGACAATTAAATTGAATCAACTGATAATCTCAGTGCAGGGGCACTTTTTTTTTTTTTTAAATGAAGTCCTACCCCCTCACTGAAACCAAAGCTAAGGTAGTCACTGCAGAATAAAAAGAACAGATGAAGGTATTCAATGCTTAATTTGGGAAGCCTTGTTTCTAGTATTACCTTAGTTTTTCCTCTTCAGCCTATATTTAGGAAGATGTGCTTCCACCATGTACTTCACAGTTAACAACACAATCAAGGCAGTATGACTCTTAAAGATGTGTCCTAATTCAAATGTGACTTTGGGAACTTCTTGTTTGTTTCACACCTTCCCAGAAGGCAATGCATCTCAAAAAGCTACCCTTGTTTTAAATATATCGCTTTTATATTTCTTTCTGATCTGCCACATCAATTCTGTTTATGTTTCCTGAACGTGTCCAAGTGGATACCAGCTATTGTTGCTTGATTCTTCTCTCCCTGTTTTGTCTTGTTTTAAATGAGATATGATTTTATGTCCCATACAGGCACTGACTGCTCTTCCAATTTGCATTCTTGACCTCTGCATTCAAATTTCCACAAGCAACATGCTCTTTGAATTAACTAAATCCTCTGATCAACTCTCTAACTACTCATCTATATAGATAATTTGATCTTTCTGTTCTTCGACATTCACAGCTTATCATTTACTCTACTTTCCTCTCCTCATGTTTCAAAATCAGGTATAGAGATTACACAAATTTCCTCCAGCATTAGACTCCTAGTTGACAAACCTCTTTTGCAAAGGTTTCAGTAGTTTATACTCTAGTTTCCATCCCAAAAGGATTTTTGATGATTTTGCAATAACAGTAGAAAAAGAGATGTTCAAGCCGGGCTTGGATAAGCTTAGGAGCCAAAGTTAGACTGTGAAGTTTCCACCACCAGGAATAAACAAACAAACAAACAAATAAATAAACAATAAATAGAAGGTACAGTGCATTGTATGTATGTTATTTCCTGTTTTCTGAACCTTGGCAAAATCTGATCATGTGAAAGTAAATAATGAGAGCACATAGGAGCTATTAGGGCTAAGTTTTTATTGGACTATTTCTAAGTTATTATAGATAGACTAGAAGTATCCCATTCCTGTTTCTCAGTACACTCAACATTGTAAGCTTGGGAAATGAATAGGAATGGTCACTACAGCATATTGGTATAAGCATGAATAATATAGTTTGACTTGAAATTTTCACTGGGACACTAATCCAATGTATAAATTCAGTATAGTTTTCTGGTCACATTTTTGCCTTATGATACACATGCACAACCTTAGCTGATTTCAGAGTTTTTTATTATCATAAAGACAATATTTTTTTCCATTTAGAAACTCCTTATGTAAGTGCCTGTAGATAAAATTACAATGTGTGTCAGTCTGTGTTACTTTTAATTCTCAGTTCAGCAACGAGTATGTTGGTTACATCAGAAATACTTGCACACACAAGAAGTTTCTTGAGAAGCCAGCTGCAGGCAGCGATCCAGCTTTCAGCCTCTAAGTCCTTCAAGAGGAGATTTTGGGATTTAAGATTCTCACAAACTAATTTTTATACCTGGTCTCCGCTTCCCATTGCCCTGTAGCCATGTTCTTGCAGGCTTGACTGAGCATGCCTAAGACAGCTGTGAAATGCTAAAAGGAACAAACTTTCTGGGTGATTTATTTGTATATAAAAATATGTTATTGGGGGGTTCAGAATCGCTGTTTAGATTCAACATGTGCAACTGGATATATTGCATTCCCTTGCACAAGCTGAGCCACGCTTGTGAGTATTTCACTGGTATTTATAAAATTAACAAAAATCATCCTGGTCTCTAAGGCAACTACATACTACAAAAGCACAGAATTAGCTGCTGTTTGAATTTGCAATGGAGACTGCTATGATTTTGAAATAACAGCCTAATGACAACTGGAAAAGAACTGGAATATTTTTTCCTGACTCAGCCCTCTGTAGCAGATTGCTCAATACTATCGACTGGCAGAAATGCAAAATTTAAATGCTTTTAACTTCCATATTACAGAGGCAAAAAAATGCCACTGTTCATTCTAGGAACACAGAGGAGAAAAAGTAGATTTCAGAGAGAGCAGAAGATGTATTTTATGGTATTTCAAGTGAAATTAGGAATCATTCTGAGTTCTTAAATTAAAAACAAGAAACACAATACCCTGCACCCTACTTATCCTAAGTATAAATGCCTATTACCCATTTCCCCTTTTGCTGAAAGTCCCATGAAACCATAGAACTTAACCACAAAGTCCAATTTGCACATAGCCTATGAAACATGAACATAGGAAGAAGCTGACCTTCAGCTCTTCAGAGGAAATCTTACACATCTTGATAGTTAAGTTCTCTTCTTAGCTTCAGCAATTTGATTGATTTTTTTCTTATTAGACTGCTTGGGAATGCATATACGTGTTCAGATTTGCTTACTGAGAAAAGTGGGTTGAAAATCTGCCCACCTTTTCAGTGTTGTTTCAGCTTATAGTACACTTTTACAGGAATGCTCGCAGACTGTAGAGCTTGTAACTTGACTGTAGAGGATGTAACTTATTCCTGGATCACAGTTCTACGGCCAGTTTTCTTCTGCCTCTTGGTATTTAAACAGTTTTTATGTTATCTGGAACTTGGGATCAGTGAGTTGTGTCAACGGGAACCTCAGACTTTGGCTTTCCGATAGTGTAGAAGCGCAATGTATGTCAATACAGACCAAAGTGCATTATGACAGTAAATGTCAAAGATATCAGCATTCTCCAGCTAAAAAAAAAAACAAAAACAAACCCTAACCACTTTTATTTTCTTGCAGAGGTTGATGAAGAGTGGCAAGGACTTGATGAAAATGTTGCCCATGTGCCCTTCATTGCAGAGCGTTACTCTGAGGCTGAAATGATTAAAAGGTCACGGTCATTTTATGAGCTTCTTGATAAGAGGCGGTCTGTCAGGTTTCTCAGTGATGAGCCAGTCCCCAGGGAGGTTATTGATAATGTCATCAGAACGGCAGGTAGGTACTGTGTTGTTCAAAGTCTGAAAAAAACCAACCTTCAGTGTGGCTGTTCCACTGTGTAAAAGTGATATGAAGAATCCAAGGGAATTGGCACTTGGATTATAGTCTTCCTAGACTCATCTAAAGCCATAATGAGTTGACTCATTGACTGCTTGGAAATTAATCAGCTTCAATGACTGTATGTCAGGGATATGTTTGGAGCACTTCTTTTATAGTTTTAATGCACCTTAAAGGAGAAAAAGATTAAAAGTGTGAAAAAAAAACTTCATTACTTTTGAAGATATTTTTAAATAAAATTTAAATATATTTCAGTGAAATATCTTTCAGATAGGAATACTGAAGTGTTTTCTCTCAAAAAATGTCAAACCATGTGTACTTCATGTGCTTTCTTATTTCCTCATGTTATTTAACACATACATTTTTTGGTTGTTTTTCCTCAGACAAATTTATGATCTTGTCTCAGATGTGAGAAACATTTCAGATAACGTAAATGGTTAAGATTTATTTTTTTGTAAAAAAGTTTCCCTTAAAGAGCAAAAATAAAACTTTTCCAGTCTTTCCAGTATCAGTGCCATGGTCCTGCTGCATGACTGGGATGTATGCAGAGGACCTTGATCACGGTTTGGCTGATGATCAGATATGAATTTTCATTTTTTGGAGAACTCATGTGTTTGAAATCATCACTGTAATGTCCTCATCTAATCTCATCTCTGCTTTAGTAACACTGACTTCAGGCAGTAATGTGTCTAACACTCATTATTTATCTTAATTCTGTGAACTTGCCACTATATTGTTAGTACAGAACAATATTCATAAGCTACCTTAGAGGAAAGTTCAATAGACCTTAATGGGATTATTAATAAGGAGATTCTTAGCATTTGAGGTGCATTGTTTTCTCTTTAAAACTGTAATCAGCTTTGTTACTGCACTGTAACGAGACTCCATCTTCTTCTAATTAGCTGGGAGTCATTAGAACACTGAACATGTTTTAGCAAATGCAGCAAAGTGAACAAGCCTGGAGTACAGATGAAGTACTTTGTAACCCTGAAAGCTTTGGGCTGTGCAGAGGAAATGAAAACAATGCAAAACATAAATGTCGTCAGTTCTTATCCAAACCTGAGGGAGAGATGAGGTTCTTGATACAAACACATTTTAATATAAAAGATAAATAGTTCAAGCTGCTTCTTATTCAATGTTTCTCAAGCTGAATTCAGTGCTCACATGAGCAAATGTAGCAAGTATCTAAGAATTTCAAATATTTTTTAAGTGTTTATGTGGAACTAGAGAGATGTGAACAGTGTTCTTTACCTGTTTCTCTGTGAGCTTGCACAGACGACTATATCCTTCAGCTACTGGCTTTCATCTGCTAGGCATTTAAAATATTCTCCAGTAGTGACAACTTGTAATGATCAGGGCTCAGTGAGCAAGTGGAGACTGAATACGTACATAGACCAGCTGTCTTTGGGACAAAAAATGCAAACCTGTATGGTATATGGCAGGTGTCTGCATTGTGCAGTTCCTCTTATTTGTCAGCTAGTGACAGATTCCTGCGGGTGGTTAGACTTCTTTCCTTGAAAGCTATTAGCTTTGCCCTTCAGCTAAAACCATTTCTGAATTTGTTGCATATTCAGATGATGTGCTGCTTTGGGCGTAATAATTTGCATTAACATTACTGCATGCATATATTGCATCACAATATTGCCTTATCATAAAGAACCACAAATGAATTTTTACAAATCCTTGACTTTTCTTAACTGTTAAATGGCAATTTGAAAAGGGTAACCTCAGTCACTGGATGGAATTTTACACTTACAAATGCAGAGGTTGTGTGCTAGAACATATCTCTGCCCTTTTCTCCCAATTCATCAGCTTTCTTTCCCATTGCTCTGATGATCAGTTGAAAGCCCAGAGGGAAGAGCTTATACCTCTCACTGCACCCTCTTTCCCAGAATTCTGCTAGCTGCCTCTTCATCTTTTCCCATTCTTATACTAAGGTACTTCACCCAGTGGAGCGCACACTGAGCCCTGGACCTTTGTGGTAGTGCAAGATCCAGATTTAAAACATAAGATTCGGGAGATTGTAGAAGAAGAAGAAGAAATAAACTACAAAAAAAGGATGGGAGATAGATGGGTCAATGACCTGAAGAGATTAAGGTATGAAAAGATGACTTAGTTAAGAGTGTTGGAGGGAGATGTGTTTTGGTCTAGGAAAAACTATACTGAGAGTTTTGTCCATGCTTTTCTTTTTGTATTTTGGCATTTATTTTCAGTAAGAAAAAACAAATATGAAAATATTTTTTAAACCTTTTTTTAAAGACTTTCTTTCAAATCCCTGTTCTTCAAGCTTCCCCCATTTTCTGGTGCTGCACAGAAGGGCAACTGTAAACATTTCCTACTTCCTGATGGCAGAGAAAGAACAAAGATGAGGTCAGAGGCTGTCCCAGCCAGTGATCTATACTGTGATCCTTCTGCTAATTTTCAACTGGGCTTCTTCCCAAACTCCTGTCTGAGGAAAGTTGAAGCTCCCTTCCCCCAGCAGGAGTTGCGTTTATTTTTTTTTAGTGTTAATTCTGGCTACACATTATGACTCTGTGCTTCAATGTTACCAGAAAAAGGATGAAATAAGTGATTTGAATGTTCAGCATACCCTTCCTTGTTGTTTGCCTTTGTCTTGATTTTCAAGATAACAAAAATCTTATTGAAAGCATCATAGTCTAGAAAATTAAAATGATAAAATAATCCTATCATGATTTCTTCTAGTATACTTTTCCTTCCTCCTCTGTTTTTAGATATTTCTAAGATATAAGATTGGCAATAAAAACCTAAAAATGTGCGTAGCTCCTTGGTGGCTGATCCATAAAATTCCCTTGAGTAAAAGTGATTACACATTCTCCATCTTGAGACTTTTCCAAGCATTTGACTTTGTCATTTTTAATTTTTCTATATGATCTCTATTGCCAGAAATTTTTCCCATTTTTTCCTGTTATTTGCCAAGGCATGAAGCCCCCATAGTTAGTAGGAATTTTGCATTTGGCTGTTGTAGTTCAAAGGCTAGACTTTATGCAAGTGTTGAATTTTGCAATATGTAATTTTTTGAAATGCCCTACAAAGTCTATCTGGCTTGATTAACTCTACACGATGGGAAGACATATAGTGAGTCTTGGCTTGTCAAATGAAGCATATGCACAAGCTTTATAGGGTTAATTTGTTCTCTTTCTTTCAGAAAACTATTGTTTTTCAGGTGCTTATATGTTTTGTAAACTACTAAAATGAAGTACTCTTTATGTTTTGAATGAGAGCAGTACAAAATAAACTTTAAAAGAAAAAAAAAAAAACAACCTAAATCTGACATCATTTCTGTATGTATTCTCACTGTGACAAATTGGGAACCAAATAAATTCTAATAGGGCTGAAATATCCAGCAATAGGATGGCAACATTTGTTGTTACATTCAGGTTTATACCTTAGACCAAACAGTTCAGATCTTTTCTTCTAGCAGTTTTCCCTACAATCATAATAATGTTGGCATTGATGACAACAGGTAGAGCTGCAGGTCTGCAAAATTTTGGGAATTAAACCATCTTAAGGACAAATGCTTATGAGGCCAGTTCATAGATAAGATGTCAAGACCTAGCTCCTATTTTTTGCCATTCTACTTTTCAGTTCTTCAGCTGAATGTGTTAAACCTCAGAACTCTATTCAGGCATTTTGCAGAAATGTTTCTGTTTAAGCTGATAATACTTAATCCTCTACAGAATATGTTTTAAGTTTTAGCCCACTGCTATAATTGTCATGTATCTTTACTGGACCTTTGCAGATAGCAAATGTGACTGACGGGAAAGTGAAAGAGTTGCAAAATAAATGTCTTAAATATTCTTTTGCAGAACAAACTGGATCAAAGAATACTTGGACACTGCCCCCTATCTGATCCTTATTTTCAAGCAGGTGTATGGGAGGCTTCCAAATGGCAAAAAGAAGACCCACTACTACAATGAAATCAGTGTATCTATTGCCTGTGGTATGCTGCTTGCTGCCCTGCAGGTATGTTGACAGAATTGGCACACTGAGAAGTCACTGTATCGGTTTCAATTACATATCAAAAGTGTTCTGCCAAAATAAGGGTGGAACCCAATTCAGATTTTAACATTCAGTCCTCCAGACTGTCCAAATCCTGGCAGTACATCTTAATTTTGAGTTTCAAAGTTACTCTGCATAGGCCCTTGTCTGTGCTGATTCCTATTGTCAGTACTGCTTAAGAAGAAGAAAAATGCAATGCAACTCACTTTTAGAGTTGTCACTGTCCTCTTATCACAGGCTTTAGCATCTGTGGTTTCTGCCTTATGTAGTTTCTGCTTTATGTTAACAGGGATGACAAAGGTCTGTAGGTTACCAAAGTATGGCTGTACAGCACCACATTGTTAGTAACCTCTAAAAAATGACTTGACCCTGAATCGATTTAGTTCACAATGCTGGAAAAAAATATCAGGGACATATTTTACCGAACAGACTGTACTATTTCAATCAGTCTTTCTGAGATATTTCTGAAAATGTACTGATTTCTAAAGCTCAGCATGCTTGACACCAACCAGTTGGATTTTCTCTGTGGTTTCTCAGCGCTCACTTCTGCTTGATGTATCTGATGTACTCACACAAGTACTTAAATAATGAAGATATTCTGATTGTTAGCTTGGACTGTCAGCAGGATAACTGCAAGCTGACACCTCTTATATTAGGCCAGTTCCCTTCTGGGAACTGCCATTTCTCCTCCATTCTGTTTTGAGTGATGTTTCCCTGCCTGAATTGCTGTTCCTTAGGAGAATCTTCAGGATGGGATGTCAGAGAAGAGGGCGATACAGATGCACATCACTGGGGGTATTGCTATTCCGCAGCTGCACGGGTGTGTCTATTTTCTCCCCATAGAGCTGACAGCAAAGGGGATGCACAAGGAATAGAGCAGAACAAGCGCTATGTCACAGGAGCCTAAATTAGTAGATGTAGGAGTGATAAAACTCCACTTTCTGCCAGCTCACCATCAGGTGGGACTTCTGAGACTCCCTACCCACTGTTAGGCTCCTTAGTGCTATCTCTTCCCCAGCTCTTAGAAGTTAATTGACAACACTAAATGGCACAGTGCCATGGACTACTGTTAGCTTTTCTCCTCTTCAGAAGATCATAGAATATGAGAGTCACTTTGCCTGAGCATATCTTAGTGTCTGCCTTTTGTATCTCAAAGCCAACCAACATGCTTTGCATTACATGCAGGAAGAGATTGAAATGCACGTGCACAATGTTCAAGAAGCACCTCAACTCTGTGGTAATGATTTTTGGATAGTGTCAGCTCTTTCTTATTTGTCAGATTTTTTTTTATTTTTTTTTTTTGTGAGATTTCATATGAGGGCAGAGTGATGCACAAACTTATTTTTGGTTTCTGATGCAAGCCAGAATGTTTATCACAGACTCCTATGACAAGTTCTGAGGCAGAGTCTGTGTCTCCTATCCCTGTGAGGTACAGAACTTGAGCAGGAACAAACATTCGGAAAGCTGTAAGACACCTTCCTGCCAACAATCTGAGTTTAAGAACCAAAACATTTCTCTGGGGTGATATTCCACAAGTGAAATCTCCACAAGTGCCTTTCATCTTCACTGTAGCTGCAGGTTCCCTATCGTGATGTACATCACAGGCAGACTCCTGCTATACAAAGTACAGGTATGTTAGAGAAAAGAGCTATTTCCATTAGCTTGGGCTGTTGCTGCAGTGGAAAAATGCTTGTTTGTTGCTGTTTTTTGTTGTTGTTGTTTTCCTGGAGGCATCTTTCATGGCACTGCTGAGGCAATAAGTAAATTGGATATTCTAAAGCCTGCAGAAGAGCGTAATAAAGCAGTATTTCTGGGCTAGTCAGTATGAGAATGTGTGCAGGTCTCAGGAGAATAATGATTACAAAAGCACCCAGCACAGACCTTTGTTTCACTCTGCTCCTGTCTCCTTGCAGAATGCCGGTCTGTACACGGTGACCACCACACCCCTGAACTGTGGTCCCCAGCTGCGGGCGCTGCTCCAGCGCCCAGCCAATGAGAAGTTGCTCTTGCTGCTCCCTGTGGGCTATCCCAAGAAAGATGCCACTGTGCCTGCACTGACTCGAAAGCCATTAGAAGACATCATGGTGGTCATGTGAACCCAGGGCCATGAAGAGAGAGCACAACTTACTGCCTGCTAGGAAGCAGCAGCCCATTGAAGTTGTTGACGCTTTTCCTGTGTATTACGCCCAGCTTTAATGCTCACATATTACTGCTGCTCTGGCTGTTTACACTCATGCACCTTTTGTTGCTAGTAACCACGGTGCCTGCTTCTACTAACAGCAGCAAGTAGTCATGCATGGTGCATTTAACAGGTACTATTACCAATGAACCTGAGCAGTTGTTCCAAGAGACAAGTACAGTAACATTCAAATGACCTTCATCATTTTATTTTTCTTATGTATTGTAGGGACTGATCTTTCCTTGAACAATAACACATATTTTCCTTATACTTTTGTGATTACCACTGAACAGTTGTTTTTACTTCATAACTTTAATGGAGGTTGTATGTCGCAGAATCATAGCCCCATTAAGGGTGGAAAAGACCTCCAAGGTTATCTAGTCTAATTGTACACCTACCACAGATATTTCCCTATAACCATGTCCCTCAGTACAACATCTAAACATCTGACAGAATCAAAGAATAGCCAGGTTTGGAAGGGACCTCAAGGATCACGAATCTCCAACTCCCCTGCCACATGCAGGGCCACCAACCTCCACATTCAATACTAGACCAGGCTGCCCAGGGCCCCATCCACCCTGGCCTTGAACACTTCCAGGGACAGGGCATCCACGACCTCTCTGGGCAGCCTGTTCCAGTGCCTAACTACTCCTGGACCTGAATCTCTCCTGGCACAGGCACTGAATAAACTGCCCCATAGTAAAATAAAATAAAATAAAAAGATTCTTGTGATGGCATCAGTTTCCTAGCCACTTATTTATGAGATAGATTTCCCTCATTCTCTCAGTATCCCTTGCTTGCCACTGAAGGGCTAGTGGAAAATACCACCTGTACTCCTGTTGCATCAACTAACTGCCCTAATGCCCTGAAGTCCCTTTTGATAGCCTTCAAACTTCTCTCAGCAACTTCATAACTTCCAGCCTGAACTACAACTAAAGGTTAATAATCAGAGGGTTGAACTGGACCATGAAGTTTTTTAGTAATGCCTCTGCCCTGGGCCCCAGGAAGGCAGCACACTTTGCTATGGATAAGGGGCCCTCTGCTCCCCTCAGGAGGAGATGGGTACTACAGGTAACTACAGTTACCCTTCTTTCTTTCTTGGAAGAAGCCATTCTGAGACATGGAGATGACTGCCTCACTATAGACAACCTCCTTGGTGAGTCTCCCACCACATTCTCACTCACTTTTCCCTCAAATTCCAGAGCCTCAAACCTGTTGTGTAGTTTCTCAAACCTGGGAAACGAGGTAGGTAGGCATGGGATTTGCCTGCAACTCTGAGCTGAGACCTGTTTCCATTCCTTCTCATCTCTTAGGTCCACTCCTTTTGCCAGACAGCAACAGAAGGATCGACCACTGTTTGAGGGGTATCACCCCAGTTCCTTTCTCACATGTATAGCAGGGAGTCAGTCCACCAGCCTATGTCCTGCTCACACTCCTTGATGCTCCTTAACTTCTCCACTTCTCCCTTGAGCTCTGCCACCGTCCTGAGCACATCACCCACTTGCCCGCATCTCACGCAGGCAGAATGTTTGCCACTCTCCACCGGCAGCAACAAGCTCAAGCACTGCCTTCAACCAGAGAACAGAAATCCCACATTCTTTTTGGCAAGAGCTTTTTGTCTAGTGAAGTCCATGGCCAAATTTGTAGTTTGGGAGGCAGCCGACCATCCCTGCACATACTGCCGGTTGCACTCCGATGGGACCGCCAGTGTATGCCGGGGGGTTTGCCTGCTGTCACTCCGCCCACCGCATCAGCGGGTCCTCTCCTTAAGCGCCCCGTCCCCTTTACCGTGATCGGATTTGTACTGGAGGAAGGCGTATTTCCCATGTACTTTTCTCTGCTTAGTGGTAGCAGTAGTGAGATAGTGTTAAGCTATCCCAGCTTAACACTGCAACTTTTACAGGCTCTCACACGTGAAAGGTGCTTTCCCATCACACCAAACAAGGCGTATTTCAGTCTGTTTAAAGGCCGTTTCTCCCCCCAGCAGCGTTGCCTGTCGAGGGTCCCAAACCTGGAGGCAGTTTTGGAGAAGCGCCATTCGCAGGTCTCACAGCTGGTGTCGCCAGTGCCTGTGCAGGCAGCGCCCCCTGGCGGCGCTCCGAATTGTGGTGGTGGCTGCTCCTGAGCCCGCAGCCTGGCATGCGAGCAGTCCAGGTACAAGAAGTGCTGCTAGCTAAGCAAGTGGAGGTGATATTTACAGACGTACCGCTCTTGGTGGTATCAGTGTCTCTCTTTCACTGTCGCGAAAAACGGTTTTCCTCTTTGGCAGACTGTTTAGCTGGCTTCACAGCTGTGTATTCATCTATTTTACTGGTCCCATTTCCCAAAGTGTTGCACATGTTTTTGGTAGCATGGTACCAGCCTGAAATGAACTTTTACAACCACAGTAACATCAAAATTCTTCAAACTTCCTGCATTTTCAGCCCAAATTCAATTGATTTTGACAAAACTAGAATTTGAAGTAAAAAATTGTAAAACAAACAAACAAACAACCCTACAATTTGGATTTGAATTGCTTCCTTATAGAAGCTGGCCTCACTGAGTCTAAAAGCTGGTCAAGGACACCACAATGTCACTGGTGAGCAGAGGTAAGTCCAGGCAGATTGGCTGCAGGTTCCCAGGTATAAGGAACACACATCACAGTTGGGATAACAACTCATCCTTCTGTACAGAAGCACCTCTGCCCTATCAGGCCCCCTCAAAAAGCACTTTTCATCTGCTACAAAAGTAAATATGCCCTATTTTTTCTTTTTAATTCAGAGCTCACGTTGATACTGAGCTGAACCTTTGTCGCTCTACGTTATCTTTTATTGCTTAGAAATAAAGTGCTTTTGCCTGGCCCAATTTGCAAAAGAGATTGTATTTGAGTGTGTTTATTCCACAAGAGTTCTCAGAGAATTTTTATCAGATTAGTTCAGTTTAAACCAACATGAGCTTGCATACCTAAGTCATTTTGTTGCATATGTAAGACTATTGTATTATGGCTTTTTAATTAAGACACGAAGAACCAAGCCACATTAAAATATGCCCATTATTGTCATGGTAATAAATACTGCTAAAACAACATACCTATGTATACTGAGAAAGATACTTTATTTTGTTTTGTTCTGGTTTTTTGTTTGTTTGTTTGTTTGTTTGTTTTCTTCCATAAGTTGATGATGGAAACTGATAGACACATATTGGCTGAAGAAAACAAACTTACACGCTGTAGCAGAAATGCTAAGTCGGCCTAAAACAGTGATTGAGCACCTGGAGGGAGGGCAGGGCTAACTCTGAGGAACTCAGGTGCATACAGTGGCTCCACCTCTTCCCAGATCTCATTTAAGGGTTGACAGTGGAGGTAAGGGTGTTTTGCTCGAGATCCCTGCCTACCCTGGGCCTTTCAACTGTAAGCAGACTTTTTTTTTCCCCCTCATTGTTTCTCTGTCCATGGTTCCTGTGTTTGAGCACATCCTCGCTTGCTGTAGCCTAGGACTTTGCTATTTAGCTATCGTTACTGTGTTTTCCATCATGTTACAGCATTGCACGTGTCTGCTGCATGAGGAAGATTCTACCCCAGCAAAGCACTTCTGATGTAATGATAAACATGTGTAAAAAACGTCTTTTTCATAGAAAAGTCTATTCAAATGCAAGTATCCCAGCAGCATTATACCTGCTGATGATAATGATGATGTAGAGTCTCTTCCAAATTATGCAGCTGCTGCTGTTCTGCAAGCCTACTTGGTATGATTTTACTCTAGGCTGCAGCATTTAGAACTTTTAAACAAGTAGATGTGAAGACAGTATGTAGCTAATTAATTTTTAAATTGCCTATGTAGATCTTTACAGAGTCCTGAAAAATCAATCTTTTGGAAGTGGAAGTGTCTGGGCACTCCAAGGCAAGACACATGATACCTCAGTGCTAGGTACTAATATGACATGCATTTATGGCACTAGTCCCTTGCTCTCTGCAAAATGCTTGTAAGAAATAAAATGTAAAAGCTAATTCTGACAGCATTTACAAATGCTGAGAACATTTATTCCAGAAGGGCTGAGGCTTGATTTCATGTTGCTGTTACCAATCAGTTCTCCATAGACTTCATTAGGAAGAGATTGGCTACTGTATGTTTTTTGAAGTTTTCCACCCACCTGAGCTTAGTCATCTGCTCAGCTTTTGCAGAACAGAGACTGTCATTGATGACACATAACTCTCATGGCATTTTGCTGTTTCTTTGGTTAACATGACCTGTCTATTTCCATCCAAGTGATCACTAACCTGTTTATTGAGCCTTTGCCCCCTATAAATGAGACTTTCTTGTGTTTGTGGAGTGTAAATGATAAAGAGAACACTTACATGAAAACAGTCCTTTAAAATATAAGTTGGAAGAGAGTAGCTGAAACTTAAATCATCATAGCAATAAGTTATCAGCTAAAAAAATTGCATTCAGTTGTGGTGCAGGCATGGGGGAATATACTTTTAAGCTTGGCTACCAAGCTGGAGCTGCATTGAAGGTGTTGTGGTAGAAACACAGACAACAGAGGTGCAGGTAACAAAACCTAAGTCACAGAAAGCAATACAGATCATCAAGACAGGCAATGACCAGGGCCTTAAGAAGTGGTTACCAAGTCTTTTGTCTCATAGCAGTATATGAGGAAATATTTGAGGGTTTTTCTAAGAGAAATATGAAGTACTTGGAGTTACTTAGGAGAGGCTGCCCAGAGATTAAGTTCTTCTCTTTGATCTGAGGGTAAGATGACCACAAAGGTCATTAGTGACTCAGCTTAAAAGAGTCAGACAAAACTCACACAATTTTGAGCTAGAAAGTGACTGTATTGGTTAAGTTGTCCTGAGAAACACTTCTTGAGAAACACTCTCCGTATGGAAGAAGTAACTTTAAAAAGGTTGCACTACCTTCCAGTAACAAATAATTATGAGATGTGAACTAAGTCTCTTGCAACAACTGTTCCCAATTATGAGAGTTAATCATAGTCTCCTGATTTCATGTAAGCAGCATGCTGAGTTTTCATCTGAACTACTTCTACAATGTGGTAACATAGCGGGATAATTTTAGAAAGACAACTATAAATTGGCAGCCAGAGTAAAAAAAAAAAAAAAAAAAAAAAAAAAAAAAAAAAAAAAAGAGGTGGAATAAATACTGAATTCCACTTTGTTAAGCCTACAGAAGCTTCTGAGAATGTATTCCCTGCATCAGGCTGAGAGGTCTTGCTGGAATTTGAAGGTTGAGCCAAGGTTGATGATACACAGTACCTACCTACATGAAGTTAATGAGGGCCTTGAGGAAGGTAATGGCTTTGGTGTTGTGACTTTATGTGAGGGAAAAGAACCTGGGGTAGAGGGTATGAAAAGTTTTAGCAAGGGTATTGTTGTCCTTGAAGCGTTAATTAGTAATGTTCTGCTCTGGTGTCATCATCTTTTTTTTTTTTTTTTTTTCAAGTCTGAAGATTTTAGGGTGCTTTCCATAAGAATGTAATGTCTGTGTTTCAATAAACTTCTTCTTTGTGTTTTACATTTGGAAAAAAAAAAAAAAAAAAAAAAAAAGACAAGCAGAAAGTAGTAGCCAATGCTTAAATATCCACACTAAAGGGTGAAAGCAGAGAAGAAAAAGAGCATCCCCACATTGTCATAGTTCTTTGGGTTCTGGATTCGCTGTTCTGTTTGTTCCTGTTCATGAGTTGCAACGCAATAAATTTAAAGCTGAGAATATGAGATGATTGTATGACTATTGAAATATCTGTATGAATCCTGGAATTGCATTTAAAGGGTAGTATTGATTAATGACTCAGATGTTGTCCAGCAGGATGACTATGGCTCCAGTCCTGTTGTGTATGGTGCCTTTTATTTTTCAGAGTGCTCCTTGGGCTTAAGGTAGTATAGCACCTTAATCTCTAGTTTCTTTTTCATGGAAAATGGAGATAAGTACAGTTAAGTTGCAGTTAAACTTAATGATCGTGAAGGTCTTTTCTGAGCAATTCCATGATTAAGGCATGTAGCAGGAGAGGAATCATTTTTAATTCTGTGAAATACAGGTATTGGTCAAAGAAAAATATGGTATAATCAATAAGTGAAATACTGGAGAGTTATACGTGACTTTATAAATTTAGGTATTAAGTATTTTAGAGCTTTCTAAGCAGTTCAAAGCAGGAGATCTTCAACTTTAAACCAGAGTGTATTATCAATTAACTTTGATAGTAGTTGGTCCTGCAAAGGGAAGAAAAGTAAACTTCAAAAGGAAGCCTTGAAATATTTATATTCATTATCTGTTTAGAAATCAAAAGCCTTTGGAAATACTGACTCATTTTGATTAACTGCATTTTTGAGAAACCACGAATAGAATTGTGATTATTTCCTTTTACTGCTTAGGCGGCCAAAGCTGCGTATGCAAGTGTAGTCACTTCAAAGAGATTTAGGATCTGTTTCATACTGCACAGTGTTTCAGAATGCTCTTGAAATGAGAAGCTGTATTTCCAAACTGTCTACTCTGCTAGGATGTCAGACCTACAACTGATCGTATGTAGGATTCCAGATTGTATTTCAGCTTAAGGGCATTTTATGAGTTGAATGAGGCTGGTAGCTTGTTTCTGTAGCTCCGTGAGATCTGAGAGACAAACCTCATGCACAAACCTTAAAAAAGAAAAGCGTGTAGCAAACACCTCATTTTGCTCCAGTAGCATTATAAATGAAAGGTGGCTAATGGATGGTACTAGATGAAGATTACTTACTGTGATCACTACCTCCACCTGTGCAAGTACGTGTATAAAAGATTTTAAGTATGTGTATACATGTAAAGTATGTGGTACAGTGGAATATTTCTGGCCCCTTGCTTTATGAATGCATGCTTATAAAGCATCAGTAAGTGGCTATGTTTCACAAAAGGGGTTGTGACACTTTCAGAGGAAGGAAATCTTGAGAAATATAAAACATTTCTGCTTTTGTAAGGTACAGAATTAAGTCTAAGAGAATTCTGTAAAGAAAAAAGGAATATTAAGTGTTTTGTTTCCCATCAGAACATAGGAACACTATGTAAGTTTATCTTTAACTAGTTTCTTCCTGATGCTTGATGCATCTTGACTGCCTTCATGTTGAATGAATCATAGAATCACCAAGGTTGGAAAAGACCTAAAAGATCATCCAGTCCAATCATTCACCTATTCCCAATAGCTCCTACTAAACCATGTCCCTCAACACAACATCCAGTCTTTCCTTGAACACCGCCAGACTCGGTGACTCCACCACCTCCCTGGGCAGTCCGTTCCAGTGCCTGACCACCCTTTCCGAAAAGTAATACTTCCTGATGTCCAGCTTGAATTTCCCCTGCAGTAGCTTGAAACCATTCCCTCTGGTCCTAGAATGTATGGTGGTAAAATAATAGCTGCTACTTGTTCATGCATTTTCTGTTGTGATCTATTTCAGCCTCTTTCCTGCCCTTCATTCCGTGACTATGTGATACTTAGTTGCCTGCTGGGGTTAAACCATCTATCGTTTCTTGTTACATTTTTGCTGTAGGAAGTTTCCGAGCTTTTCACCTTGTGTTCCTTTTCCGAAACAGAAACACAAAATGTTGCTGTAGCATTAGATATTAACTAACGTCTCAGAAGTTTACTCAAGGTTTTATAAGATCTGAGGGTACTTGTTCTCTGTCTTCAGTAACTGGATTTCTAGTTGGGATACCAGAGCTGAGTAACTTGATCTTGTTGTGTCAACATCGACTGAATGCTCACAGGCCTGATTTCTTCTGTCTAAAGATCACATTATCTTGTTACTGAGTAAATTCAGAAAGAGAGCTGGTATGTGAGCAATGTAGTTAGATGTTTTCATTCTGACCTTCAAACAGTGTGTATCCATATATACTGCTGATGTTCTGTAATATTGGATAATACCGATGTAGCACCTAATGGAGTATTTGCTGTGAGGAGGAGCTGAGCTGTAGCATGAATATTGGGTTTTGTGCAGGTTAGGATACAGATCTTTACTGTTTTGCATTACATAGAGTAAAACTTCATACATTATCACCCTTTGCTATGCAGCAGTCTTCCATGTTTGGCTTTAATAACAGTAGTAGAAATACCAAATATGAGTGCTATGGTCAGTCCGCAG